ATAAAATAAATAAAATCTTAAAAAAAGAAAAAATATTAAAAAAAATAAATCATGAGTTCATATTGGCTTTCTAAATTCAACTTTACCATTATAGATTTTTTTCGTTATATCTTACATTTTATATCCTTATCTCTTTTTCTTACAACATAAATCTTGTCATCTGATAATACTAATATATTTACTTTTTTCTTTATCCTTGTGATATATAAATATAAAATAGTTTCAAATTTAATTATAATATTATTACTATTACTAAACCTACTGGGTGATGCTTACTACTTTTTTGTAGCTTTTCCTGTTTTTAAAATATTATCTCATTAAGGATGAGTCAGAGGACTGGGTTTATAAATTATTTGCAATAGCTATTTCCTTTGTGGGACTATGTTATCAATTTGATAACCATTTAGACTCATTTGCTTTTTTAAAATATTTATTTATTTGAGAGAGAGAGAGAGCACATGAGCAGGGGGAGGGGCAGAAAAAGAGGGAGAAGCTAACTCCCCCAGAGCAGGGAGGGAGCCCGACACGGGGCTTTATCCCAGGACCTGGAGATCATGACCTGAACCAAAGGCAGAGGCTTAAATGACTTAGTTACCCAGGAGTCCCTCATTTACTTTTTTATCTTCCGTCTCGGGGCTTATATCCTTGATTGAATTTTACTTTTTGGATATATAAAACATAAGTATGGTTCAAAAGTCAAAACCATACAAGGAGGTGGATTTAGAGGAATGTGGCTCTCATCTTTATCCCTTCTACCCTATTCACCAACTACCCCCTTTAGTAATCATTTTCATTAGGATTTTTTTTTTGTCTTTTGGATATTTGTACCTCTTAATCCCCTTCATCCATCTCCCCCCACCTCCTCTCTGACAAACACCAGTTTGTTCTCTGAATTTAAGAGTCTGTTTTATTTGTTTTTGTTTGTTTTGTTTTTTAGGTTCCATAGTATTTGTCTTTCTCTGTCTGATTTATTTCACACATACACACATCCATTATATATATTTTATATATCCATTATATATAATATATATTATATATAATATATGCATTATTATATATAATATATGCATTATTATCACATCTTCTTTATCCGTTCATCTATGGATGGGCACTTGGGTTGCTTCATTATCTTGGCTATTGTAAATAATATTGTAAATAATGCTGCAATAAACATAGGGGTGTATATATCTTTCTGAGTCAGTGTTTTCATATTGCTTGGGTAAATCCAGTAGTGGAATTACTGGATCATATGGTAATTCTAGTTTTTAATATTTTGAGGAACCTCCATACTCTTTTCCACAGTGGTTGCACCAATTTACATTCCTACCAACAATGCATGAGGGTTCCTTTCTCTCCACATCCTCACCAACACTTGTTATTTCTTGTCTTTTTGATACTAGACATTTGGCAGGTGATATCTGATTATGGTTTTGATTTGTATTTCCCTGAAACTAAGTGATGTTGAGCATCTTTTCACGTGTCTGTTAGCCATCTGTATGTATTCTTTGGAAATTGGAAAAATGTCTATTCATATCTTTTACCCATTTTTAAATCAGATGGTTTGGGAATTTTTGGTGTTAGGTTGTATGATTTATGTATTTTGGATATTAACTTCTTATCAGATTAATATCTTCTTCCATTTGATAGGTTCCCTTTTTGTTTTGTTGATGGTTTCCTTTACCATACTTATTAGTTTGTTTTTATAACAGCTTTATTGAAATACATTTCCACATACAATACAATTCACCCTTTTAATGTTTTTTCAATTGTTTTAGTATATTCACAGAGTTGTGTAACCATCATCACTATCTAATTTTAGGGTATTTTCACCACTCCAAAAAGAAACCCCATAGTAATCACTCCCCATTTCCTCCCATGTCCCCACATCCCAGCCCTAGGCAACCACTAATCTACTTTCAGTCTTTATAGATTTGTCTGTTCTGAACATTTTATATAAATGGAGTCATATGTGGTATTTTGTGTCTGGCTTCTTTTACTTAGCATAATATTTTCAAAGTTCATCCTTGCTGTAGCATGTGTCAGTGCTTCATTTCTTTTTTTTAAGATTTTATTTATTTATTTGAGAGAGACAGCACTAGCGAGAGAGCATAAGCAAGAGGAGGAGCACAGGGAGAGAGCATGAGTGGGGAGAGGGGTAGAGGGAGAGGGAGAAGCAGATTCCCCACTGAACAGGGAACCAGAGGAGGGACTGGATCCCAGGACACTGGGATTATGACCTCAACCGAAGGCACATGCTTAACCGACTGAGCCACCCAGGTGCCCCAGGGCTTCATTTTTTTTTTCACTGAATAATAATTCATTGTGTATTTATACCACATTTTATTTTTTTATTTATCGGTTGCTGGTCATTTGAGTTGTTTCCATCTTTGGGCAACTATGAATAATGGTCCTGTGGATATTTGTGTATATGTTTTTGAATGAACATATGTTCTCATTTCTCCTTATTATATACCTAAGAGTAGAATTGCTGGGTCATTTGGTTTAACTTTTTGAGTCATTAGTTTTTTGTTTTTGTTTTTGTTTTTTAAAGATTTTATTTATTTTTTTGACAGAGAGAGACAGAGCGAGAGCAGGAACACAAGCAGGGGGAGTGGAAGAGGGAGAAGCAGGCTTCCCACAGAGCAGGGAGCCCGATGTGGGACTCGATCCCAGGACCCTGGGATCATGACCTGAGCCGAAGGCAGACGATTAACGACTGAGCCACCCAGGCGCCCAAGTCATTAGTTTTTCATTTTCTTATTGTGTGCTTAATTTGACAAAAGTAAGAAAATATGTGTTTAATATTCTTATATATCCTTATTTCCCTCTTTTGTTCTTATAAAAAGGGTAGCATACTCATATACCTTGTTTTTAACTTTGAGTTTTTTGCTTTTATTTTAGCTGTTGTTCTCTGTTATACACCCTGAAATTCGTAATGCATTCTAGAAATCACTACAAAAAAAGTTTGTAGATATTTTCCTAATTCTTTTTTGACTATATAATACTACATTGTTTGAATATACCATTATTTACTCAACTAGTCCCCTATTGTTGGATACTTTTGTATTTCCAACCTTTTGGTATTAAAAAATTGTGCTGCAGTGTTTAACCTTGTGCATATGTTGTTTGGTACTTGTGGAGGTGTGTCTTCAGGGTATATGTCTAAAAGTAGAATTTCTAGGCACAGGGTAAGTGAATATGCAGACTTGTTAGATCTTGTCAAATTCTCCTCCTCTAGTTTTGTATTGCATTAATGCCAGCAATGTAGTAGAGTATTTATTTGCCCCAAAGTCTCATCAACAGAGAATGTGGTCATGCATTAGGTTTTGCCAATAAATGGTATCTCAGAGCAGATTTAATTTGCATTTTTCTTCTTTGAGGAAATGAGCAGTTTCTCATGTATTTAAGAGTATTTGTTTATCTATTTCTGTGTCTTGTGTGTTTGTGTCTTTTGCTCCTTTTGTTCTAGGCTTTTTGAGGACCAAGATTCTTGAAATAAGGCAGAAGCCAGCCTTTGGGTAGATGGAAGCAGGTGCTTCTCACTAACTGCTAGCAGGATTAGCTCAGTCCTTGGCTCCTGTCACATACTAAGAATCTTAGAAAATCAGAGCAGGAATAACTATTTCAGATTAGCTAGTTCAGTCCCCTCATATTATAGATGAATAAATGGAGGCCCAGAGAGTGGGAGGGACTTTCTTTAGTTCACACAGAAAATCAGTGGTAACGTGGAACTTGAACCCAATTTCTCTTTCCCCCAGGGCAACTTAAATTAATATGCAAATGATTTATGTGCTGATTGTTATACTTTCATTGAGATTATCACAAACAACTTTTTGGGAAGAAACTGCCTCTTAATGTCCTCGATTAGCCCAAATTACAAATATTGGCAAAAAATATAAAAGGCATCCTCTTGTTAATTCTGCCTATTTATCTATATTAGTGTCTATAATGCTCATTTGTTATAAAAGTATAAGAAAAACATAGAATGTCAGAGCTGCACTGAATCTTGGTGATATCTCATTATGTCACAGGGAAACCTGAGATCCAGAGATGCAGAATTTATCACAGGGGGAGACCAAGAGGGCCATTTAGCCTGGAGCCTCACCTTCACTGAGGGCTTCAAGTTTAGGTATTTGAGATCTTTTCCAAATGAGGTTAAAAACGTATGATTACTGCATTTTTACGAGTGTGATGATAGCTTTATTTTGAAAAACAAACACATATAAAATGCATTGCAATTTTTCTAAGCTTGTTGTCTCATTTCTGTACTTTTTAATGTACCAGGAGAAGCCTCAAGAGTGACCTGCCCATGATTGTCAAGAAAGCTAGTAGCAGAACTGACACCAGAACCCAGATTTGCTGACCTGTAGTCAGAGTGCTTTCTGCTGCACCATAATGCTTTGTTAAGAGCCAGTGGTTGGCCTTTTACAAGTCAAGAAAATTCATCTTTATCCACAACATTGAACCCTCTGGCCAGAAAGCACCACCCATGCCACTTAAATGCACCATCTTGGAGCTCATCACAAAGCCTACTCTCTATAATACTGTCTTTCCTGCCTGCCATACCCAATCAAAACGTTGGCCACAATCTTCAAAATAACTCCCATTTCTTGAGAATCTCCTATGTGCTATATGTTCACTCACAGAACAGTCCTGTGTGGTGGGCAATACTATTCTCATTTTACAGATGATTAAACAGGCTAAGAGATTATACAGCTAAGTAAGTGGTACAGCTGGGATTTAAAACCAAGTTTATCTGACTGCAAAGCCTGTGTTCAGCCCATTTTATCAGGTATTACTCTTCAATTGAGATGCATGATGACTCTGGGAGGATATATACAAGGGCCAAGGCAAAATCACCTTCTTCATAGAGCACTCAGCCTGTCCAGGATGAAACAGTTGGTGACTGGGACTTAAGGAGATGACAGTTTCTCTGCAATGCTACCCTGTGGGCCAGTCCTCTAGTAGAAACTCTTCCTGAAAACCCAGAAGTTACTTACTTGACCAAGTGTCTTATAAGAAGTTCCAGCATCTCTCGGTTCTTTTCGGGTAGCTTATATACCAGGGAGTGAATAGCTCCCAGCCGGTAATCCAGGTTGTCAGACTCTAAGAGAGAACAAAGAGAAATAGTTTTGCCTTTTGGGCAACTGGATCAAGCAAACTCTCTCTCTCTCTCTCTCTCTCTCTCTCTCACACACACACACACACACACACACACAATCAGAAACACTGAGAGATGAAAAGAGACAGAGAGATAAACAGGCAAAGAGAGATCAAGAAGAAAAAACATTGAGACAGAGAGAGACAGAAAGACAAAGAGACCAAAAGAGAGATAAGACAAAAAGAGAGATAAAAACAAAGAAATAGGCCTAGAAAAATAAAAAAAAAAAGAAGAGAGAAAAGAAAGATGAGAATATAAGACCATCTCTGAGGAAGTCAGAGTTCTAGGTATAGCAGGTTGTTCCTAAAGTTCCACATGTAAACTTCCACAGGAAACCCTTGCCCACCCATCTTTTTGTGGTGCTGGGAGGTATACTGCTACCTCTGGGTTTATGTGAAAATCACTGAGAGAGCTCAGAGTAAAGATCAAAGGTCTCTTGCCTCAACAAAAATTCATTATGAGGTCAAGTCTTCTCAATCTTTTTCCTGCACACCACAGAGAGCACAGAGCAGGAGAAGGGTCATGTAGAGATAGGGAGGGATACTCATATAGTGGCCTCAGCCAAAACTTTTAATACTTCTTCAGCTGCCACGTTTTGGGGTGATTCTATATGCCGTATTTCCCATGTAATGCTTCACTTTCACCCTCAGTTTTATCATCTAGGAAATGTGATTCTAGCACTAACAGATTAGGAGTAATAATTCATAGCACAAATGAAAAGCATTTGAAAAGGCAAAGTTATGAAAAAAGTCTAAAACAGCAACTATAATGGAACCATTTTGGTGCCCCCTGGTTATGTGAACTAATGCTCTTGTTCTGATTGAAGAGGCACATTCAGTCAATAAAGCCCTCACACCTGTCACATCCTCATGTTACTCAGTTGTCTCCAACCTACTCAACTTACATTGATTATGAAAAGTAATATAACACTCGAGTTAGACAGCAAGCAAGAATACTCTCATTTGGCAGTGGACAAAAATCTATGTATATGTTTTGTTTTTTCCCCTCACTTTCTCTCATTTTTCTAGGTTTATTGCTATGAACATTATTAAGAAGCCAAGACAACACAATTAACTAGTAACATAAATACTTACTGGCAGCCGAGACCAGCTCTTTGTGAAGTCTATAGGTCATGACAGGTTCAGAAAGATTCCTGAAATTAATGAAGACTGTAAGTTCCTTTGGGGAGGGAATAGCCGGGTCTTAGATTTTCAGTTCTGTGGGCAGCAAGGCTTGTTTCTAATCCCTATAGCTTAGTGTGACTACATACATTTCTCTCTTCACCTGAAACGTTGTCAGAGGAATGCTACTTACTGGTAATTCAATAGAATACCTGCAAAAGTATAAGCCAATTAGTCCTGCAGGGTCTCTAATTAGTTCCCAAAAGTGAAAGGAGTCACAGACCAGTACTGAAAAATTCCAAAGTGGACCCACTCTGAATGCCGCTATAAAGTCCTTGCAGTTTGATAGTTCCTTAGTTTTCAAAGTGCTTTCATATCTGTCCTCCCATCTGATCCTTTCAATGATCCTGTGAGATGGAGCAGTTATTCAAATCCCAGTTTAATGGAGGAGAAAATTGAGGCCCAATAGATTTCTTTATTTAGTAAAAAAATATTGGCTGAGCACCTACAGGTACCTGACATTGTGCCAGATATTGGGGCTCCAAAGATGAGTAAGACAGACCCCAAACCTCCAAGGAACTAATAGTCTAGTTGAGAAGAGTGCCATATACAAAATTTACAATGTAAAAGGACCAGTGTGATGATAAAGAAAAGATAGGTGGTGGGTAGCTCAGAAAAAATAATTCACTTATAATAATAATAGTAAATGCTTCACTGTTCTAAGTGATTTGCATATATTTACTAATTTAATCCTCATGACAACCCTGTAAGGTAGATATTGTTATTATATCCATTTTATAAATGGGGAAACTGAAGTTCAGAAAAGTTAAATAATTCATCCAAGACCATGCACAGCCAGTAAGTGGTAGAACTAGGCAGTCTGTCCTGAGTCTATGTTCTTAATCACTATTATACTGCCTGCCACTATTATTATGTAGTAGTCCAGTTGAGAGATAATAAAGGCCTAAACAAAAATAGTAGCATCAAGGATAGAAAGAAATAATGAGGAGAATTATTTAAAAGACATTAAAGACAGAATGGGTATACTGGTGAGGGAGAAAGTCATCTGGTTTATGAGACTGGATAGAAATAAGCCTGAGGGACTTTTGGGATAGCCAAAGGGAGATGTCTATCAGGCAGATGGATGGAATGCCCTTCTAGATCTGAGAAGTAAATATGAAAATCATAAACCTAGGTGAGTGGTTAAAACCATGAACATAGGTGAGTGGTTAAAACCACAAGAACAGATACCACAGCTCAAGGAGAGATGGCCAACTCAGCCAACAGCTACACGGGGCCTTCCATTTATTATTTGTCCAGAATAGTGTATAAAAAAGACATGGAATTGTATTAGTTATCAGAATATAAAAATTTGAGATATTTCACAAAAGATCCATATTTTCTACCTCTACTGAAAAATGGAAAGATCTGGCTATATTGGGCCCATATGGTTACTTGTGGAAGTAAATATTATTGCTGATTATATATAAACAAAGGGATCACTATGCAAATACAGGTTCAATATGCAATGTTTTAATATGGAAGTAGTCTGCTTCATTCATTTTCGTGTCCTGGCCCCTGTGGATATTTGAATTTTCCATCCTTCCATTATAGGAAAAAGAGAGGAGAATCCTGGAAAATATCAGGTAGATAAAGGGGACTGCTAAAAATGGTCAAAAAAGGTACGAGGAAAGCCAAAAAAGCAAGTGATATATTAGAATCCAAAAGAGGAGAAAGTGTCAAGGAGGGCTCATTAACAGCTTCAAATGCTACAAAGAAATCAAGTAAAGTAAAGACTGACAATTGTACATTGTGTTTAGCACTGAGGGAGTCACTAGTGACCTTGGCAAGAGCAGCTGCAGTGGAGCAGAGGTGTTGGGAGGGAGACTGCAATGGGTTAACGAGCAAACTGGGCGGTTAAGAAGTAGACACTGGGACACCTGGATGGCTCAGTGGGTTGAGTGTCTGCCTTTGGCTCAGGTCATGATCCCAGGATCCTGGGATCAAGTCAAGCATCGGGCTCCTTGCACAGCAGGGAACCTGCTTCTCCCTCTGCCTGTTGCTCCCCCTGCTTGTCCGCGCACTCTCTCTCTCTCTGACAAATAAATAAATTTTAAAAATCTAAAAAAAAAAAAAAAGTAGAGACACTGCGTGTAGATTACTTCATATACTGAAGCTTGGATAGGAAGGCATGAAGTATCTCTCTTATTAGGCAATCTCATCCAAGCTCCTACCTCCCAATTACCATATATATTTTCAATGATTCACAAATTTTTAGCTCAAGCTCAGAATTCTTCTCTGAGTTCATTCCCATATATGCAATTGCTCACTTAATATCTTGCCCTGATTTCTTCAGACACATAAATTTGACATATCTAAAGCCCAACTTGTCATCTCCCCTACATCTAGTTTTTGTCTTGTTTCTTAAATCAGTAAATATATGGCCACCATTTCGTTGTATGGGCCATAAACATGGAAGTCATTCGTTTATCTCCATCTCCCCCATTCTCATATATAAATTTACTCCCTAAATTTCTTAAATATGCTTATTTCTACCAATCTACACTGTTACTCCCTAGTTCAAGCAGAAGCATCATCTCTTTCATGGACCACAGCAATAGCCTACTAATTGGTTTCTATCTCTACCTACCTATTGAATCCCTCTAATCTGATCTCTATATGATTTTTTCAAAATGCAAATCTCATCATGTAACCTACTGCTTAAAATCTCTTAGTTTATTCCCACTCCTTTTAAAATAAACCCAGACCCCAATTCTTAAAATGTCCCATACGACCTTGCATGATGGGGCTCCTAATATCTCTCCCTCCCTCTCTATACTACAACACTCCATTTATACTGGTACATGTAGAAGAGGTCATTCTCTCTTGTGCTTCAAGGCCTTTGCGTATATAGTTCTGTCTGTCTGGAACTGCCTCCTCTCAGCTGACTCTAAGTTATAATTCAAACCTCAGTTCAAAAAACAACCAGAATAAACCAGGTCTTCCTATTATATGCCTTCATAATACCTTGCACCTTTTCTTCAGAGCACTTATTATGGTTTGTTATATTTGTATGATTATTTGTTTTTTTCTGCTCTCCTAACTGGACTATAACTTTTTTAAATTTAGAGACTACGTCTATTCACAATTGTATGCCTACTGCCTGGTACCATGCTAGACATAGACTAAATACTCAGGAAATGTTTATTGAATAATTTAGTAAATGGTAGAATGAATTTATTCATTTATGAAAAAAGACACAAGGTCAAAGAGATGTGCTTTACAGGAGCATATTTATATGCTGAGAGGAAAAAGCCAGTTGAATAAGAGAGATTAAAGATATTAGAGAGAGAAAGGATAGTTTTTAGGGTACTTTTCTGGAAATGTTGGAATAAGGGGTGAGTTAGGTATGTATAACACAGATGAAGAGTCCCTCTCTGAAAATTAGTCTAAAGTATTTGAGAAACCTAAAGGGTGTTAACTGGCTAGTGCATATTAAATGCCCATACATTAAGTCTTAAGGACAAATCTTTCATTGGAGGTATTGCTCATTCAGGCTTTCAGGCTTGAACTTCCCATCTTTCAAAAGGGCTACACTGCTTATTATGGGATGAGTTGGGAAAGATGTAATGTGGGGAGGTACTTAACCTATATAAATCTTTGAAAAAAATTGACTGCTTTGAAAAAGGCTAGAGACATAGAATCATTTACTCTCACTATTATCACCACCAGTCTTCTAAAAGTATGCATAGTAGATTGCTCTGTCTTCACTAAAATTACCCAAGCAAATCCAGGAAGGTCATAGCCCCTGAGGGTGGGAAATGGGAAGAAGATGTTCCAATACCAGTGGCCTATATGTCAGAGATACTTAGGTTCAAATAATATGAGCTGTGAGCATGGATATTACTTAACAGGAAAGGAGGTGCCTTTCAATTTCCTCATCTGTAAAATTAGTATGATACCACTTACCTAACAGTATTATTGTAAAAAAAACCCCCAAAAACCCAATGATATTATCAATGTAAACAACTAGAACACTGCTTAGTACAGAATAAACCCTCTAACAACAATACATTTCTTCTTTGGCAAATGCCAGAGAAATACTCCTGGAAAGAGCATTCATGTTTATATAAAGTTCTAAAATGATACTACAGCAGAAGGTCATTTAACAGCAATATCTGGGACCCAATTTATTTTGGATTAATGATATTGAAACATCTATCCTAAATGCCTAAAGAGTACAATAATTGAAAAAAAGACATTTAGTAAATAATGTATGGTACATACTATTGGACATAAAGAACAGTAAGAAATGAATGAGTTTAAAAAGTATATGTCCCCCCTCAAAAAAAGTATATGTCCCAAATATTTTTACATAATATAAATTTATGCCAATCAACTAAATGATATATTCATCACCACTGTGCATCACCAAATTTTGCTGATAAGGTAAATTTTGTTTTCCTATTGTTCTCAATTCATTCAGTTCTAACATTTGTATGACTACATTTTCTTGTTCTTTTTATTTCTATTATATGGATGAAAGCAAGAAATATGACGCATAACACACAAACAAATATTATGTTTGTGCAAATGCAATTTAATGTTTCAAAAGAGTTATTATTCAACAAAACATGTTAACAACCTTGAATTGTCATAAATCCTCATATTATTCATGAGTACATTGAGACATCACTCTATCTATGAACAATGGCAAAATTTCCATTACTTTAAGGAAAAGCCATTTTTCAATAATAATTCTATTATTCTGATGCCTTACTTGCCTAAATTCCCAGGTTAAAAGTTTTATAATACAGGGGCGCCTGGGTGGCTCAGTTGGTTAAGCGACTGCCTTCGGCTCAGGTCATGATCCTGGAGTCCCGGGATCGAGTCCCGCATCGGGCTCCCTGCTCGGCAGGGAGTCTGCTTCTCCCTCTGACCCTCCTCCCTCTCATGCTCTCTGTCTCTCATTCTCTCTGTCTCAAATAAATAAATAAAATCTTTAAAAAAAAAAGTTTTATAATACACATTCTTTTTTGATGGAAATCCTTTTCACTCTTTTTTTCTTTAGCAACTCCAACCTCCTGAAACTGTGACCACATAAGCTCCAATCTCCACCTAGACAAATTTCATCAAATATGAAAAACAAAGTCCCAAATTGTATCAGGCATACCTGAGGTAGAATTTCAAGGAGCTGGTGATTGTCTTAATGTCCCAATCACTATTATGAAAATCAACATCTCCTGGGCATTTAGGATCTATATGAGGAAAAAAAAAAAAGTTAATGTTCTAAAAGTTCTTACTTTTTACCTCTTTAAAAGAAAAATAAAGTGGGTAGCCTAGGTGGCACAGTTGGTTAAGCATCAGACTCTTGGTTTCTGCTTGGGTCATGATCTCAGGGTGGTGGGATAGAGAGCCAGGTTGGGCTCCGTGCTCAGTGCAGAGTCTGCTTGAGACTCTATCTCCCTGTCTCTCTCTCTGCCCCTCCCCCGACTTTCTCTCTCTCTAAAGTAAATAAAATCTTTAAAGAAGAAAAAGAAAAAGAAAATACATTACATTAAAAGATAGTCACTCTACCCAGTTTTCAAGAGATGAAAACTTTGTACAACAACCATGTCTTTGATGTCTTAAAAATTCCCTTGCATTCCATTCAGGCATGTAAGAAGCCTGGAAGTCATGTCTTCCATCCACACAAGAAAAAAAGTGTAACAAACTGAAAATCAACTCCTCTTAGATCCATCAGAGAATTGAGGTCATATAACAAACTACTGTCCTTAAAACTGAAGAGAGAGGCCTGCAGATCTGGAAAATCAAAACTTACTAGAACAGAAGCCCAGGAGCAGAAAACTCCTTGGGAACCAGTACAGCGTTAGGAAAACCTAACCTGGAATTGATTTGATAGAGGCTCAGTGTGGACAAGTTTGAGAGTTAAAAATTCTAAGGGGGCTTGGTCCTAGGGGGACCTGCACACTTTTGTGAATTTTACTTCCAGGAGCCCTATCAGGTTCTCACAGTGAAGATCTGAGAAAAATTCACTCATGTTTCTGTGCTTCTTTTTAATAAAAGAGAGGATAAGAACCATACGATCCTCTCAATAGATGCAGAAAAAGCATTTGACAAAATATAGCATCCTTTCTTGATAAAAACTCTGCAGTGTAGGGACAGAAGGATCATACCTCAATATCATAAAAACCATATAGTAAAAACCCACAGTGAATCATTCTCAATGGAGAAAAACTGAGAGCTTTTCCTCTAAAGTCAGGAACACAACAGGGATGTCCACTCTCACCACTGTTGTTCAACATAGTACTAGAAGTCCCAGCCTCAGCAATCAGACAACAAAAAGAAATAAAAGGCATCCATGGGTGCCTGGGTGGCTCAGTTGGTTGAGCGACTGCCTTCAGCTCAGGTCATGATCCTGGAGTCCCAGGATTGAGTCCCTCATCGGGCTTCCTGCTCAGTGGGGAGTCTGCTTCTCCCTCTGACCCTCGCCCCTCTCATGTGCTCTCTCTCTCTCTCTCATTCTCTCTCTCAAATAAATAAATAAAAATCTTAAAAAAGAAGAAGAAGAAATAAAAGGCATCCAAATCAGCAAAGAAGAAGTCAAACTCTCACTCTTCACCAGAAATAGCCACGCTGGTGGTCCCAGCTATTTCAGACCTGGATCCTGTTATATACATAGGGAAGAGGGATGTGACCTTATAAAAGGGTAGAAACTACTTTAGCAGCTTAAAGTAAATCCATCTGTGGCCAACTGGTTCTCCCTGGATTCAAATTACATCAAGATTATTAATGACATTTATAACCCTGAAGCAATAGTTCTGTCAGTGAATCTACCCAAAGTATACATTAGAATAGACTCATCTACAAATATGTCATCACAGAAAAGGAAAAAAGTTAAATGCTAAACAATAAGGAAGTAATCTGATAAATATTGGTCCTTTTATTTACCATAATATTATAGCCATTGAAATATTTACAAAGTATTTTTAACCATATGTGAAATGCATATGTCAAGGTAATTTTGGCCATGTAAGTCTAAGTCTGTCTACACATCCTCCAGAAAACAACATGGAACCACCAGAAAAACAGGGCTACACAAAGCCATGCCCTCCACATAATAAAAACATAGAGAACACCCAAATTCCAAATCACTTGAAAGTAGGAATATAAACACTAAATCCCAGGGAGCTATCACTAATATTCCTTCTCCACAAACATTTGCAGGGAGCAAGCGAAATGCTGGGAAAAGTTCATTCATAAGAAAATAAGGGGTTTGGAGGGCTAAGATTAATCTAAAACCAGCACCAGAAAGACAAAGTCTAAACAAAGTATAAAAATACTGAAAAATAGGGTAAACCAGAGCACTTGTGGAAGAGTGTTCTAAGTGATCTTCAAAAAGAAGTCATGGAAGGTATTGCTCCTAGGAAAGGAAAGGGCAAAACATAATGGAAAGACATCAGCCAAAGGGAAGTGAAGCAAAAGAGGAAAATTTAGGAATGGGCAAATATCTACCAGGCAAAAGCAATCAATATCAGGCAAAGTAGATTTCAAGCCCAAAAGCACTAAATGAGACAAAGAACACTTTTAATGCTAAAAGCCTTACTCAAAATGAAAGCAAAACAGCTATGAGTATCTGCATATCAAATAACATGGCAACCAACTTTATAAAACAAAAATACAGAATATAAAAAATTATCAATAGGGACTTCCAGGGGAGATGGAGGAGAAGGAGGACTCTAAACTCACCTCTCCCAAGGATACAACTAGATAACACTTACACAGTGCAAACAACCCAGAAAAGGACCCAATGACTGGCAGAATAACTAAATGTAGAGAAGAGGCCACATTGAAGAGGGTAGGAAGGGCAAGGATTCAGTGGGAACCTAAACCCTGTGGGTCTGAATGCTGGAAGGAGGGAGCTGCAGGCTCAGAGAGGAGCAAGAAATAGACTAGCACACTGGGGAGCCTACAAAGAGAAAAGAAATCCCCATAGAATTTGGCTTTGAAAATCAGAGGGGCAGAATTTTGCTAGTGCTTATGGCCAGCAGGACTTAAAGCCTGGAACTATAAAAATCAGCAGGCTTGGCTCTGAGAAGGCAATAGGAAGCTGAGCCCCTATCCTTAGAGATAGCACAGCAAACAGCTCATGGAGATACAGCTTGGAAGCAGCAGTTTGAAAGACACCTGGGGCTTACAGGAGGGAGAATTAGTTACTAATCTCAGAGTTCACTTGAGGGACTTCTCCAGGAACGAAGGAGCTGGCAGGTGACATTTCCCTTCCCAGTCTAAATTCATAAATGCACAGCCACCTGTGGGAACTAGTGCAGCACCAGTACTCATTACCTAACTTGCTTACACCACAGCACATGTCCCCAGCCAGACCTCCCTCAGTCCCAGTGCTACGGATCCCCTCCCCAAGAAGACACATGCAAACCTTGCCAACCCTGGATCTGTCAATCTCTCAGAGAGGATGTACACAACTTGTTAAAACTGCACCTGCTGCCCACCATGCTGTATGGAGCAGCCAGCTCCAGTCTCTGTGGCAGATGTGCATCCCCAGTGGAGGAGGGCCAGTGTGAACAGTTTATGGCACTGCACCCCCATCAGTCCACTCAAGTTTTGTGCAGTGGCCTTGGCCAGTTTCAGTCTCCACAGTGGCTGAGCATCCCCTGTGGTGGAAGACAAGTGCATCTAGTTAAAAGTGCACACTCTGACCACTACTTTCAAGAGCAATAGATATAGCTGACTTTCCTAAAACACAGAAACAGACACAGAGAGGTAGGCAAAATGAAGAGACAGAAGAATATATCACAAATGAAAGAACAGGGCAAAACCACTGCAAGAGACCAAAGCAAAAAGGATCTAAGTAACATTCCTGATAGGGAATTTGAAATAATGATCATAAAGATACTCGCTCAACTTAAGAGTGGAGGACATCAGTGATATCCTTAATACAGAGACCAAAAAAAACAATTAAAGATAAAGAGGACAATAAATGAAATTAGGAATACAACTGATGGAATAAATAGCAGGCAAGAAGATGCAGAAGAATGAATGAATGACCTAGAAGACAGAGTAATGGAAAGTAAATAAAGATGAACAAATGAGAGAAAAAAGAATTATGCAAACTGAAAATACACTTAGGGAAATCAGTCACTCTATCAAGCATAATAACATTCACATTATAGGCATCCTAGAAGGAGAAGACAGAGAAAAGGGGGCAGGATATTTATTTCAAAAAATAATACCTGAAAACATCCCTAATCTGGGGAAGGAAAAGGATATCCAAATTCAGGATACATAAAGATCCACCAAGACACACAGTAATCAAAATAAAAAAAAGTAGTGATAAAGAAAAAAAAAATTAAATCAGCAAGAGAAAAGAAGACAGTTATATAAAAAGGTAACTGCATAAGGCCATGAACAAATTTTTCAACAGAAACTTTACAAGCCAGAAGAGAGTGGCATGATATATTCAAAGTGTTAAAAGGAAAAAATCTATAGCCAAGAATACCCTATCCAGCAAGGCTATTATTCAAAGTAGAAGGAGAGGTAGAGTTTCTTAGACAAAAACTAAAGGAGTTTTTGACTACTGACCCAGCCCTACAAGAAATATGAAAAGGGACTCTTTGAGTGGAAAGGAAAGATGAAAAGTGAGAGTATTAAAGAAGGAAACACAAAAGCAGTAAAAATAAGTAATTCTGTAAAAAAAAATACTAAAGGGAGTCACAAAATAAAAGGATGTGAAATATAACAACATATACCTAAAATGGGTGGGGGGAGAGTGATGAGTAAAGAAGGTTTGAAATGTAAGCAACCATCAACTAAATATAGACTGCTATAGGCAGAAGATGTTATATACAAACCTAATGGTAACCATGAATCAGAACCATTAGTAGATATGCAAAGAATAAAGAGAAAGAAATCCAAGTTTATCACTAAAGAAAACCAAGAAACCATGAAAGACATAGTAGCAATACTTCTATGAGACAAAATAGACTTTAAAACAAAATCTATAAAAAGAGACAATGAAGGAAACTATATAATAATAAAGGGGAAAATCCAACAGGAAGATATAACCATTGTAAGTATTTATGCACCCAACATAGGACCACCCACATACATAAAACAGTTAATGATAAACCTAAAGGAACTAATCAGTAGTAATACAGTAATTGCAGGGGAATTTAAAACCCAATTACATCAATGGAGAGATCAGCCAAACTGTTTGGCTTAAGGAAGGAAATAGTGGCTT